CTATATATATTATATATTTTTCTATATTATAAATTATAAAGATATTATAGTCATACTGTCATATTATAGTCAACAATAAATGTGCGTGACACTGCGTCTATTGATCGACTAATTTATCGTTATAGAGAAACCTAGCAATGTCTTTTTATTTAAAAATCTAGATAGTCAGGTGGTAGTATTAGATTAGTTTCATGGCAATTACATGAGCAAATATGAACGACAGATGTCTCACTTTGTCCTTTACAGAACTAAGTTGACTGTTCTTTAATCCTATTATATCTAAATCATGGTAGTAAATATAGCATGTTCTGTTAAGAATTAAGGGATCGATTTATTTTGTTTATACCTTTAATTTGTCTAGATTAGCCAAGGAAAATAACGACAGAGATAACATAATTGATCTCATAGATCGCGGTGTACCATTCGATTTATATATTAATAATATTTTCAGGAAATTTGTTTTGGGGTAGATAATTTTAGTTTTGAAAATTAAAAACAAATCACCCAGTGACAGAACCAGTAAATAGGACTTATAAATATGATCACAACTGTCACTTTATACAATGAAATATTATTTTCGTACAAAAACCATGCAAACACTTGGATATATATTGATTCTAATTTTTATTGACCATCTGCATTTAAGTATCTCAAGTAGGTACATTAGTAATGCACCAAAGCATAATTCAACAAATGTTTTTAAAGAATATTTTCTAAGAGAATGCGTGTATATGTATTATGTATAATATATTACTTCAGATAGCTTAAGCCATATAAACGCAGCTACTTATTGAATAATTTTATTATATACATTAAAGAAAATTTTTATACTACAAACTAATATAAAACAAGTCATTAATGAGTGCACATATGTGCACATAAACATATTGGATCTCCTTGAAAAATATCCACTTCTAAAGTTCATTTAAGCACCCAGAAGGCACCGGTTTTAAGATCTTAAGTAATAGGAACTTAAATAAACTGAAAATACAAAACTACACATAAATATACAAAAGGAACTAATAGAGCAAAAATTGTATATAAGGAAGAAATTAATGAATACTTAAACATAAGCAGCAAAAATAATATGTAAAGGAAGAAATTCCTTATAATTGTGTCTCGTCATGCTGCGTCACAAAGTTTTTCCTAATTTCTTATTCTTATCCTGCGGCTACTAAAGTTACGCAAAAGAGATTGAGACAAGGACTACAAGTATTCATTTAGTTATGTGTACGAGTATGTCACTAAGGAAGGATATTCTTCTTACACGTCATTTATAAAATCAACAAGCTTTAAATGCTTTAATCGTACTATATTAGAAATTTATATTCAGTCGTATTTCAAAGATTTTTTTAAATTTAATTAATTTAATTAAATTAAGTTTTATATAAAAAAAAAAGATGATTATATTTTTAATGAAACTTCTTATTTGTATATATAATATTTACGTTAATATTTAAAAATATTTAAAGTATTATTTTTTTACTATATTATATATATATTATTTATATTTATATTTATTTATATTATTTATATTTATAGACCCAAAACCATGCTGTGGTCTAGACAAAGAAACTTTATCTATTCTTATGAACGGCGCAGAGGAAAAAGAAAGACAACTTTATTGGGAAAGGATACCGAGACCAACACAATCTTAAATTCTTTTAGAGACTTATAACCTAAAACGCTTTAAAGATTGTATAGCACAATCACAAAATAACTTAAGAACTATTGCGGGATTATTGACCGGTCACAGTAGATTGAATAATCACCTAACGAAGTTAGGAATTCCATTCAACTCAGACTGCAGATACTGTAGAGAAGAGAGGGAAACTGCATTCAATGTGCTTGTGGAGTGCCCGTCACTGATGTACAAGCTGAAGAAACACCTAGGAGGGTATTTCATGGATCATAACGATCTAAGACCAGGTAAGATAGGCTCTAGACAGTCTTTCATTAAAGAAATCGGACTTCGAGAACATTCTAATCTAGGGCACAATAGATCATTTATATAAAAACTAAATTTTCTTTTACGTGATTTATTATTTTCAAAGTATTTATCTATTAGCAAATGCTATAAAATGTTTTTTTTTAGTTCAGTTAAAAAATATTTTATTAAGTAATTATTAAATATACTTTTTTTTTAATTTCTTTCTAATTTGTATAATTTATTCTATTATCAAAAATAATTATTTTATTTAACTATTAAGATAATAGTTAAACATTAAATAATAGAAAAAATATTTTCATAATAAGTGTATTACTAATAGATTTTTTTTCTTACAAATAAAATATTTTTTCCAATAGAGGTTATTTCATTTTTTTTCTTGTTATAATGAATGTTACTGTTCATTAAAATACTACAATTTAACTTGTATTTTTTACTCATTGTGGTTTAACACTTTTTATTATTCTTTGTAAGGCCCAAATAGTCCTTCGTTTACTGATTCATTAATTCATAAGATCTTATTGAATATATTACTTCATAGCTCTTGCGATAATCATCGGAACAGAAATACATAGTATCCCCCATAATTAATATTAAAATTTTAAAGTAAATAATACACCAAACAATAATTTAAAATTAATTTATTTTATTTAAAATAAATGAATATAAAATAAATAAAATAAAAATTTTAATTATATGAAATTGATTAAATCCATCGAAACCAATAAACATGTCAATTAAAGATATTAAAAATTTTAAGATACAAATTAACCCATTTATGTCAAGAACTTAAAACCGGTAAACCCTAACGAAATGGACATGCACAGCGGGAATAAATTAGTTATTGATTGTTATTGTGAACACCCCTGGCTTCAGTATTTTTCGCAAATATATATTCACGCAAATAAACAAGGATGGCTTAGATTATATACACGCACATCACACATTATCAGTGGAATGAATAGCTTTATGGGTGGTACTCGTAAAGTACATGTATCTATTTTAAAATTTATTGACATTCACACATTAACAGCTATTAAGCATATAAAAACGGTACAGAAAATTACGAGTAATAATACGAATGTTTGCTCTTAATTGTGTCACTGACTTAAAGCCTTAAAGTCCTAATAAAATATGCATACGTTAAATATGAGAATAATTTATTTATATTTACGCTGGAATAAGAAAAAATTCTAAAATTCTAAAGCTATGATATTATGTGTAAGTATTATTTTTAAACTATTATACTAATATTAAATTTTTTTATTTTATTTTATTTTATTTATTTTATTCTAACTAAAATTCCTATCAGCAACAGACAACTACTAAAATATAATAGTCTTTGTCGTAAGTTCTTAGCTAAAAATAAATATAAAAATGTAGTAGAATATGCATAACTGAATAAAAATAACTACTACTATTTATTCTAATTCCTGTCAACTTTCCCATACTAAGCCCAACAAGTGTTTTATAAAAATGACTATATACGAATATACTAGTATTATGTATATATAGTTGAATTTATGTATATTTGTACGCGCTTTTTAAGAGTACCTGCTGAATAAAGAGTTTTCCTTTATGGCAAAAAAAAAATGATATCAGAAGCAAAAAATTATTTAATTTTTAATTTAAGAGATTATTTTTTCTCCTCTGATACGTTCAAATGTTTTTAAAGGAATATTAAAGAAATTATGATAAAAGTTGAGTGAACTTAATTTCTCCAACAAAGTAGCAACGTCAATGTTTGATAAGAAAAATTTTAATCTTTACCCGCACCCGCATAGCACTAGAAAGGTGCTGCTATAGAACTTTGTAATAATATTTATGAAACAACCTAGGAAACTTTTAAAACTATGCAAACTATACACATTTTTTATGCATTCAATGGCACTAGGAACTACAACTATAAGATGGTGATGGTAATGGTTTATGGGTTAAGCTAAGGCCTTTATGCACTGCGACCAGCTTGATCTATTTGTTGCACACAACTAAGAGATAGTAGAAGGTAAAGCATAAACTTATTGCAAACTAATCTTGGCTATAATAAACTTTTATTAATTTTTAAATAAGAAACTAATTGTGTGAAAAATAATTGCGTTAGAAAACTTTATAGGAAAAATAGCGAAGTGTCATATTGTTATCTTACCTTAAGAAACAATTATATAGGCTATCTTTGATAAAAAGTTTTGCTAAACTTGCGACAACATGAAACTATAAATACAGAAATAAATATTATTTAGTAATCAAGAATGAAGACAACTACTCCAAAAATCAAAATTCAAAATTAAATATTTACTAGAAATTAATAATAATTAATATTTTAACGAATTATGTTAGTAACTATATAGAAGGATGGTACGAAAAAAAAATTTAAAAAGCGACTACAGTTTCTAATTGTAATTGAAAATAAATGCAGTGCACAATGATATGTTACCGTAATATATTGTTTAAACTCCCAGAAATTTAAATACTATTAAACATACTATTATATATACCACTCATACATCTACTGAATATAATCGAAATGGTCTAGCTTTATTAACTTCATTTGTGCACATTTCTCCCGCTTTGTAAATACAAAATCACTCAGACCTCACCACGAGTAGATGGTTGTACTTCGAGATCCATCCATACCCTATCCAACCAACAATCTGAGTAGTGTGTGTTATAAATTTTTTTACATTTCATATCTAATCACATAGCTGCCCATATTAATAAGGTTAAGACCTTACTGATGTTCTAGTTTAATAAACTTGTAATCTGCTTTTTGCAAAAAACCAAACATGTGTGATCTTGTTATTAGTATTGTTGTGATTGAACCATCCCTCGCACTCGAACGAACCACCCTACTATATAGATCCTAACTATATGGTGCAGTTATCTAGTTGGAAAAGACGAATCAAATCGCGGCCTTCAAAATACTAGCAAAAATATATAAATAAAGTTGTCTAAGTATAATGGGAACGTTCCAAACGTTTTTGGAAGTATAATGGGAACGTTTTTGTCTATTTGTTCCAAAATGTGACATTGTATATTACCAAAGCGTTTTTACCGTTTCTTTGACAAACTCAGCATTGTCATATGTGTCATTTCTGCAGTTATCACTTTCCTCTAGGTCCATCTTGAGATGAGGTGCTTTTAAGAAAATGTGAATATAAGAATAAAAATTGATATCTTAGTGGTGTCCATCTATATGAAATTTTGGACAAGTAAGTGTTACTAATAATACTCAAATATATCTTTGTAAATATAAATGAATGCTTGAAAATGTTACAATAATTTCAACAAATTATCATAAACCATAATATGGATGTAATGGCATAGGAGGAAGCATCTGAATATGTCAGATTAACATAGAATCTAAAGTCACTTTAACAGCATTCTATTTCACTAGGACTATTCAACAAAAGATCCACAAATTAAATTTATCAAAAGAAAAAATATAATAAGCTTTATGTGGTCGCAATGCATATTATTTGAAAAATTCATAAAAAAAGTTAGTAAATCTTAGTTTTATGTTAATTTAAGATAAAAATTAAGCTTTTCTTTAAAATGTCATTAGTTAAATTTGGTGTCAACTAATTTATGGAAAAGGACTTATGTCCTCTAGTTATAAATCATCTTTATAGACTTTGTATATTTCTTCTATGATTTTTAATTCTTTATTCTGATATAATTCTGATATATAATACATATATTTTATATGGAAACAAATATATTAAAAAATATTGTCAATTTAATTGAAAGAAATTAAATAAAAAAAATTTTCTGTATATTAAATTTTCTTTCTTTTATTCATACTGGGACTGAATTTCGCCATAAAATGTAGGCGCATATTATAAATATCAAATATTAAGTTACATATAAGTTATAAGTTATTAAGTTATATAGATCCAATGAATTATTTTAAAAGCTTTAACATTTCTTTCGAAAGAACTATGAAGGATAGAGACTTTAGCTTCCTGAAGAAATTGATTGCAAGTTCAGCAAATTCAGTAGTGAATTTAAAGATTTTTTTTATTTAAACATTTAAGATTAACGTAACTGCTTTTGGTATTAAAAATCTGTATAAATAAATATATATGGTTTTCTTTTTATATAATAAATTTTTCTTATAATATAAAATGTATTTTTAATGTTAAAATTTTATTTCGACTTGATATACAAATCCTATCCAGAAATACTTTACTTAACTTTTTATTATAAAAATTTTAAAGTATTTAAAATACATCACTTCCTAAATACTTTACTAAAACATATTTGTTTGGTTTATTATAAATATTTGAAATATTAAAGAAAATATTTTTTTTTAATAAAAACGTAATCCTTTGTTCTCTGAAATATTGTATTTATTTATAGAAACAAAGAAATGACTTTAAGCAAGTTCTGATTGCAGCTTTTGTTAGACAGAAATGCTTTTTCGTTTCATAAATATTTAATATAACATTATTTACTTCACTATAACATCAAAGTGAAAAATATTATTAGAATTTATTAAAAAAAAAGAAAATCTTATATTTTATCATTGATTTTTATGAGAAACAGAAATGTTAAATTTGTTATTTTGTACAAAAAAATATGTACTCTTTAATATGAACCAATAAAACTGTACAATCTTTTAAACTAATTTATATAAACATGTTTTTAATATAAAACAAGCATGAACCTTAGAATAAAATTCATAGTTCCAGAAAAAAACATCGAAAAACATCGAACATCGAAAAAAATTTTAGTGGAGCGAAGATAAATTTTAAATATTTGCTGACCTATCAAATATCACACAACAGTTTACTTAAACCTCTTTTGAGGTTTCTATGAGTAAAGATTTTATTAAGATAAACTTTCAATCAAATAAAATTTCAGGAGACTTCATAAAAGTATAGGATGAAAGCAACCTTATGTAAACCCCTGACGAAATATATATTACAGCAGTTTTAAGAGGGTGCAATTCTTCTAAAAAATTCTCGATTCTCAAGTCCTTGTGTGTTTTTTTTATGTATATAGTATGGCGATTTTAGCATACGTTTCAATACTATATTCTAAAAAGTTAGAAGGAAACAGCATTGCCATAAAATACACAACCATTAAGTCTAATTACCAACGTATAAAACGGAGTCTTACATTTCACGCTCAACTTTTCTTATATTGGTCTTCTGATTTTAAAGCAATCAAATTTATATTACAACCTTACGTACCTAAATAATTAAAATTTTATATGTTCTGATATGAGAACCATTGATATCGTTATTGCTGCACTGCTATATCCACATCAATATCACTTTATTACCAATATAACCCTAAACCATTTATTTCAAACTTTTGAAGTCAGTATCGAACTTTTAACCATCAGTAGAGTTTTTAATTAAATTAAGAGTTCTGGCATACTATTAAGTCTTTTTAAAATTTCGAAGCCCTCGTATGTAACACATTATGGTAGATTAACAATCTTTTTCCTGACTCTGGTTTTTTTTTTGGAAAGTATCCCTTTGAATGACAACGTAACAAAAACCCGGGACTGTCCTGAACCAACATCCATTTACATTTAAAGTCAATTCCAAATTGCGACCCCAAACTATCAAATTGAGCCCTATCACCATAGATCTAAGTAAACAATTATATAGAAGTTCAATTTATTATCAATCTTATTAACTATCAAGTTATTGATGCCTATTTATATACCATAAAAGTCAAATTTCAAACAACATTTCTGTGAGGTTTACGCCTTTGGTTAGGAAACAATGATTTACAAATTAAGTTATGATAGTCATTAAAATTTTTAATTTATGCAATTTTTAATATGATGTGAAACTGATTTTTCTTATTTTTTTTATATCTATGAATTAATTTATTATACATTTATTATCATTGTTTTTTTTTTGTGTTATTATTGTATAAATTATTAATACGTAGTATCTTGAATTTGACCCAAAATTGCATTATCTCACAATTGGTTTTAGTAGAAAATAAAATCAATCATTTTTTCCTCAAAAGAAATTTATTGCCAATTTATCAGAGTTCATTAATCAAATCTATCAAAGATAAAAAAATTATGTCATTAATGATTTCTATTGCTAATGGAGTCAAAGTAATTTGTTCTTGTGCCAAAATATGTCACTTTAATTTTATTTTAATAAAATAACAAGAAGAAGAATGGTACATATATCATATCTAATTTTAATGATATATAGAATTTTATTATACAGATACTATTATAATCAATATTAATATTAATCAAATTATTGCAAATTAAGTAAAAAATTTAATAAATTCTTCATTCAAATAGCAGTTTTATAGTTTCAATCATTTTAATTCATTTAAATTAAGATTGCAATTACAGTAAAAAATTTAATAAGTTTTTTATTTAAATAGCACTTTAATGGTGGCAATAATTTCAATTATTTTACTTATATACCACGCTGAGTAGATTTTAAATAATTGTAATTGGTTTTATTTTATTTAAATAAAAATTACATTTAAAATCAATGTCTATAATTGCGTGATTATCACACTATGGATATATATTTATTTAAATATATATATATAGCACATAAATACATAAGTAGATAAAGAACATTAGTTTCAATTTTTTTTATATTCATAACATTTAAAGTTTTGACTTTGTTATTGTTTTGTGTGAAAATTAATTGTAATTTAAATATCAAAAAAGGATAAAAAAATATATCAGATAATTTTATAAAGAAAATAATATAAATTTCATTTAATAATGATTTAAATTAATTTGAATTATTAATATTAAACGTTTTAGAAGAATAAAAGAATATTATATCAGATAATTTTTTATAAAAAAGAAAAAAAATTTAAATTTAATTAAAAAAATAATTAAAATGATATGAATTTTTAATATTCAACGTTTTGGAAGAATAAAAGAATATTATATCAGATAATTTTCTAAAAAAAAAGGAAAAAAATATAAAATTAATAATTAATTTAATTAATTTGAATTTTTAATATTAAAGGTTTTAGAAGAATAAAAGAATGTTATACGAGATAATTTTCTAAAAGAAAAGAAACAATATTTAAATTTAATTTAATAATTAAATTTAATTATTAATTTAATTATTATCAATTAACTCAAACTATAGTTTTCAGTTAATTAGCTTGCTTTAATTTTTTAAGATTTGAATATTTATTGTAAATCTTCTTATAAATATTTATTTAACCCTTTAACTCCTAGGAGGAGCATAGGACCGCAAATTTTCTTATAAAAGGGATTCAATAAATAAAATAAATATATTAAAAAAAAAAAAAATAATTCATAAAGTAATAACTTATGCTTCAAAATATTTTTTTTAATTTTATATTTATTTTTTTTCTATTTTATGATTTTAAAATTTAAAGATATACCAAACGTGAAATGGGCATATATAAATAAGCAGATAAAAAGTATTTTAACAAAGTTATTTCCACTATATCTAATTATAATTACATAACTATTACATAACTATACATATTACATAACTATAATTATGTTTAATAATTATATATATATATATAGATATATAAAATATATATTTTTTATATTTTTTTTATTAGTTTTCATATATTCTATAACCTCAAATTTAAATTTAAAAAGGTAACACCTGGCGTATGAGTAACATTTTTAACTTCATGTAACAAAAAATGGTGACTCATTATAACTGCAGGTCTAATAACAATAAAAATTTAACCGCAAGACTTACTTCATTTTTATTTATATTACACGTTGCCGTAAATATGAATAATTTTAACTTGCCTTTAACTTTTTTATATGAGTAAATGTAAAGTTGGGTGAATAACCATTAACCGGAAGCAAATTATTCGCAACTCAACTAACATCAAAAAAACTGCTTAGAGAATAATTTTAAAGTTCTGCTAGGCAATTAAGCCTTCTTTACTTCATGGTTGGAAAAATATTGCACATAAATTTACATAAAAAAAGTAGAAGGCAAGCGCACATTAGAAATTATGCGCTGCCACATGAGACCACATATCCTTGTAGTGCTATGTCCACTTTATGGGCTGCTCCTTTAATAAATGACGGTTGACTAGATTTGTGGTTAGATATAAATCGCATGTTTGTTGTTTCTAAGTACAATAAGGCGAAGAAAACGTTAATTGCAT